TCAGGTGGTGAAGGGTGGGGTATAAATCTAATCTCCTCCTCCTCTTCTTTTTCTTCTTCGTCATCTGTTCCAGCAGCTTTCGTCATTGGATTGGGCATCTAAACTAGCCTAAGCAAAGTTTGAAGAGAGTCAGTGTGCTGTGTAATGTCATTGCGTTGAACTAGAATGTGTCATGCTCAGATCCCTATTCAGACATGATGTTTATTAGGTGACCTTGCAGTTAATGCTGTCAGCCCAGTATACCTTACATTGTGAAAGGATACAGTGGAGCACGGGGAGACTGACTATGCTGCCCAAAGCTCTTGGGAGTAAGGTCAAGATTAAAAAAATACTAAATAGCAGCAAGGTCTCTGCCAGTCTTTCATTCCTGTTGTAGCCTGTTGCACCCCCTGAAAAAGATACGCTGCATTTATAGGGGCTGTAATGTGGAAAGGCAGGAAGGTTGAGTCCCCTGTACTTTATCCCATACCATTCCCAAGGTCCTTATGGACCCCAGAAATGGCTTTTCCAGAGCACACAGGGCAGCAGTAGGAAAGTGAAGAGAATCTGCAGTGATCCCTTTTGGAATGCCTGTAAAATGTAAGGGAGAAAGCGGTTATAAATTATAGACTTATTTGCCTGTTATGGAAAGAGGATAAACTAAATGAGGAGTGTAGGTGTACTATGTACTGTGGCATGGGTCCTATCTAACGCAGTGCAGCACTCATGGGAGTAAATTTTCCTTCCTGCCTCCTCACACCTGCTGTGCCCCAGGGGGTTGATGGACCCCCGGAATAGAACCACGGGCAAAATACTCTGCAGTGGAAAGGAAAAAAATCAAAAATTGTCCCCCTACTGGTCCAAGTAGGTTAGGATTCATATTTATATAGTTAATCTTTTTATTTTTTGGAGTATTTTTGGAAAAGGCATTTTATAAATTCAACAAAAAAAAGTTTTTCATGGGTTGTGGACCAAAGTGTGATGGTCTTGTGATTAAGTTCTGTAAGAGCTCTTAAGTCCAAACTTTTGACATTCTGTTTTTGTTGATGTTTACAGATGTGATACAACGGAGAAGCTAAGAAATTCTTTGGATTACTTGAGATCTTTATTAAATGAGCCTACTAACTTTAAACTTATATACAGATATGCATTTGATTTTGCACGTGTGAGTATCTAAATGTCGTTTTTACTGGATTTTTTTTAAAAAATAGCTCCCCATGGGATTGTTTTTAGGGGGAGGAGTTTGTACACTTGAGTTAATAATTCCCAGTAAATATATCGAGTTTACATCATGAAGATAGTTTCAGAGGATAGCCGTGTTAGTCTGCAGTAGAACAGCTAGATTTGAGTCCAGTGGCATCTTAGAGACCAACAAGATTTTCGGGGTAGAAGCTTTAGAGAGTCTTTTGGGTCCCTAAGATGCTACTGGACTCAAATCTGGGTTTACTTCACTTTGCTAGATGGTCTGTTTTTTTAGTTTTAATCCAGTCATGCATGTTTATTTGTCCAGTCATTTAAATAGAATGCTTGCAAGTCAGTATAGTTATAATTCTGTGTTAAGTTTTGGAGACTCCATACTTGCGTCCTATCCACACTTGCTTTTAGAAGTCTTGTTGTGAAAACCCGGAGTTTAAGATTGCCATGGGTGGCCTGCTTCTATTTCTGTCTCACACGCCCCTTCATTTTCTTTAAGACAGTCCAAGCTGCTAAGAATTGCTTCTGAAGATCTCCCCCCAGTCATATTGAGCATCCATTTAACAGTCAGATAATGACAACTCTGTAGATACCCAATTCTCCCATGCCCACTGATACAGGGAGGAAAAGGTGTTCCAAATGTTACACTTTCAGGACATTTGTAACAACAATGCTTTCTACCGGGAGAGCAAGTCCTGTGGCCATCTAAAGAAACTCCTAGCTTTTCAGGAGAAAAGGAACAAGAATATTTTATTTGGAAGTATCTCATGGTGGACGGAGCAATGAAGCAATATGAGGGGTGGACATTTGCTTATTAATCTAGTTATGTGGGCTTTGAAGTTGGCATGAAGATTGTCAGAGGCTTCCAGTCTGTTCCCAAGGGCGAAATAATATTGAATCTGCATCCCCAAACAGTTAGGTTTCACTATGTATTTTAGTAAAAAGCAAAAGAATCGCTCAATTCATTCATCAGTTAACAAGGAATAAACTGTCTTGGCTCCTAGATCAAATGAGGAACATTGTAGTTAATCTTAGCTCTTTTCTTCTCTTTGACAGGAAAAGGATCAGCGAAGCCTAGATATGAATACTGCCAAGTGTATGTTAGGACTTCTGTTAGGAAAAACGTGGCCCCTGTTTCCAGTATTTCATCAATTCCTAGAGGTACAAGTAGAAAAATCTTTTCGTGTCTTACACTTGAAAAATACAATATCAAAAAGTTGGGCTTGAGCGGTGCATTCATTCTGGAAGGCTATGGTTATTTGAAGTTAATTTGAAATTAATTACATGTAAGTAAAGCAGGTGACTATTAAAGATGCCAAGTTACACATGTACGTGACATCATTGCTTAATTTCTGATACAGGCAATGACTAATTGGTGGTGAGCTCGGCAAATGACATTAGGTGTCCAACTGTCTCAGTTTCCATTCCCCATCTGTCACAGAGTTTTGCTGGCCGAGATAATGTACGTGAAGTGCTTTGTACACTTACAGTGCCATGCTAAGCAGAGTGATGCCTGTCTTTGACCATTGCAGTCAACAGGCTTAGAACAGTGTAACACTACTTAAGATGTCACACTTAATATATAGTGTTTTCCTGTGTATGATTAGAATTGTCCAGGATGTTTTGGAAATTATTTCTCACACCTGCTGGTAGTCAGAAGTGAAAACAGTTTA